CTGCGTGGTTGGTTAAACCACGACACCATTACAGAGCATTTCATTTGTAACTTTGATGCATATGAGGCTTGACTACAAAAAGGGAAATACATATTTGTGTTACTACATGATCAATGACAATGAAGTAAGCTCCACTTGATTTACATCAGACTAACTGAAGCAACATAATTTTTCTGGTAAGAATATTTGCAATTTAGACATTTTTAAAAATCACTGTAGAATAGCAGTTCTGTGGTAAATTCTAAGAAAACCGTCTTAAGACCTGGCTGATTTTTAAAACATGGACAGTTTAATCTGAAGCACTTACATATTTCAGGAATACTTAAGAAAAACTGGAAAATAAAACCCAAAACAAAACAAACAAAAAAAAACCCAACAAAAAACCAATCAGAACAAAACACACAAGCAGACAACAATCCCCCTCCAACTGCAAACACTTTACCATCTCTTTCTCGTTCACTCTCAGGCCTTGCTCTTGGTCCAGTATCTGACCAATCCCCTCTCAGCCGCAAACGTTTAACAGGAGGTTGCCGTAACTAGAAAGGAGGGGGGAAAAAAGAAAAAAAAGAGAAAGGCATTACAAAGCTATTTATGTTGGATGGTACATAATTTAAAGTCTAAATATAAATGCAATATCTCCATTTTCCTAAGTTACATAAATTCGTATCTGTCACAAAAAAATGGAATGCCAGCCATATGTTCAGATCAACTATGAATAAGCACAACACTGTATCAATAGAATGCAAGAGTTTTAGCTACTTCAACAGTCTACATCAATGACTCTCAGAACTAATGCAGCTTTTATTTTATGCAATACTAATTTTACTATGTTAATTGAGGCTTTCCATACTGAACAATAATAATTAAGGTTTTCCAGAATTCAGCCCAAATTCTGCAAAAATATTCACCTCTTCCTGGCAGCTTCAGTTTAATGAAATGTGGATTTGAAATTAAGCAAAAGGAAAAAACAATCAGACATTAACAAAACAAAGAAATTTTACGAAAATAAACTTTAATTTATTTTTTAACTTGTGGGGTTTTTTTAGTTTTTATAACAGGTTTTTTTTGCAGCAGGAAGTATAAAACAAGTATATACATGTAGTGTTACTTGAAGAGAAACAGCTAGTGCTTTGAACATTCAGAAAGGCAGTTCAGAGTTTGAAATATTGGCTGGATATTTCTGGCTTAAAAAAAAAGTGAATAGTTGCTGACAATTTTAAATTAAATGTAAAACCCCTGTGGTGAAATCATATTAAAAGTGTTAACTTTCAGGAGCCAGCAGATTCAGGAAGAAAGCTTTACATTCCTTCTACTCTATACAACTTAAAGCCAGGCTGAAATAAAAATAGCATTTAAGGAAAATCATCCAGTAAGAAGAGATTACAGGACATATTCTGTACCTACAAAAGAAAAGAATACATAGGATCTGTTATTAACAGGTGGTCACAATCTTCTCTCTCTATAGTAACTGGGCAGTCAATTCTCCACCAAATTACTTCACAACAGATTAACATTACATAGAAGAAAAGGAGAAGCGCAGAACCATTTGTGCCTCACAGTTTTTCTGGGTTCCTCTTTGCTTTCTCCTGCCTCAGTATAACTCAGCTGGACATTATACCCCCTTCTGATCAACAATATTTGTACTAGTAATAGCAGCCTGTAGCCCAGTAAATACAGCATGGTCATTGCTAGTAACAGGCCACAGGCTTAATATGAAGCTAACAACACAAGCCTCACGCTTGTCAGGCTTTGTCTGGACTTCACTTGCTTGGAGCAGTCTTTTAGCTCATTTAGCTGCAACAGCAATTGTCTAGTGACCAAGTGATTATCACCTAATTTGCTTTAGTTTTGCTTAGATTTGCCTAGATGTGTGGTGTACAACCTCTTGTTAACAGTTTTGACATATACAGGAACGCCAGCTAGCTAAGCTGTGCAAGTAAGAACCACCTATGACCACAGGATACTGATGCAGCATGAAGTAGTACAGGCACAGGCTGACAGCAGATGTCCTGCAGGTGTGGACACAGGAGGGTACCAGAGACGCCTTCTCAGCAACTCACCCGTGGCTGTTAACTGAACTGTAAAGGTTGGATCCAAGCAACAACTGTTTTAGGGATAACAACAAGGACAAAGAACAAGCATTTAAAGCAAAAACATGCCATATTGGCCGTCTAATAAAGAAAACACATCATGTAAAACGTGTTGAAAAACGTGTAAAAATGGCCTCCAAGCAGATTCTAAGAAAAAGAAGGAAGAAATATCAACATCATGCTTCTCCCAGAAAAGAGGAGGAAAAAATCACCATCATTATCATCACACTCATCCTCCAGGTGAAGACAGCAGGATGCGGACAACTCATTGTAAACTCCCTTAAGGCCCCTGCCTCAGACTAACGGTAATGAACTCAGGATACAGAATAGCTTGTGAAAGGGTGAGCATAATGCCAGAAAAAAAAGTAGTGGATGGCAAGGGGAGCGCAGGGGGAGCAGGAGAAACGTATATATAACTTCACTGCAGTTAAAGAGATTTGTTTTATATTGATCAGAAAATTTCGACTGAGAATACACCTCAATTACAAGAGTGACCTGCCACCCTTGCGGGTCTTATAACCCAAGATTCACGTAGATACCTTCTCATCTTTAGGAGAGGGAAACCAGACAAGAAAGAAAACCAGAGTGACAAAACATTGTAAATGTATAAATAAATAAATATATTGTAAATATGCAAATTTTGTAACACAATCTACTTGTCACATCTCAGTCTATGAACAGCAACATTAATTTAAGATTAATTAGAAGGGAAATACAACTGATACAAGTGTGCCACAAGAAAAAAAATATAAAATGTGAAAACAGGTCATCTTAATCACTTGCCTCTTCCCGTCTCTCTTCAGCAGAAGGAACTTTAAGTTCTCGTGCTGTGTCATCCTTGGGATCAAACAAGTATATGTAATCCGAAGAGTAGCTAACAAGGATCTCTTGACCATCTTCACTATAACATAGAGATGTTACTCTGCAGGATTTGTTATTGAGATGAGGAGGAACAAAACGTGCCACCATTCCAACAGTGCCCCTACCAGCATAATTCCCTATATTAAAAAAAAAAAAGGGCGGGGGGGGGAGGTAAGAGAGAGAGAGAAAGAAATGACACATTTACTATTGCAAATTTTCAACAACTTCAATATACTCCTTATTTAACATCCAACAAAAGATGATCAGAAAAGGGCTAAGTATCCTGTAGCTTCTGCATTAAATTGGATCTGAATAGTGACATATGAGATCTTACTAGTATTTTATATTTTTGTTTACAAACACTATGTACATTATAAAAAGAAAACATGAAAACACACACACAAGTATATTCATATATCACATACACATCACATGACAGTGTGTGGATGCTATCTGTCAAATGTAGTACAAATGGAAATTTTGGAACCTAAGAACATTTACACAATAATAATGCAAATCTGTATCTACACACAAATTAGAAAGGAATTCATTATATGAAACTTTGAAAATTTAGGACATATATCTCCTCTTTTCTACCCAAAATGTTTTAAAAAATTCTAGTTTTTCTTCGAGACATAATAATTGTCACTTTGAAACTGCAGAACTATACAATACATTGTATATCATGCTTCCCTGACAACTCATCTCCATTCCACACACCTGAACGATCTTAAATTCTAGAATTACAAGTGTAATTCTACAATTCAAGAGCTACTAGTTTGCTCAGTAGTCATAGAATACTTCACCTCTTTAAAAAAACCCAAACACACAACCCCAAAATCCCCCAAAACAAAACAACAGAACACTATACCAATATATCCAGAATAATTACAATCTTCAAAATTTTGTCTTTTCTCTCCTTTACTCTTTACTCCTCTACTCCTCCTTTACTCCTCTACTCCTTTACTGGCATACCTGAATTCATCTTATTCCTGTATTGTTACAATACAAGAGCAGGTACATAGTGCCTTTTAATCAATCCCCCAGAATTTGCTCCTCAGGCAGTTCTCACAGAATTTTGCTGACCACTGTGATGAAAGGGAGAGATCTTATAAGAACATTAGCCTAATGAGAGGCGTATTTGTATGTTTATTGAGTGATATTTACTGTTTCCTTTCTCCTCCATCACAATCATCAACAGGAAAATGCTGCAAGAAATGACAGATTTTGTGACACTGATTACTTACATGAATGTGTATGCACAGCTATGTATATTAATTCATATGTGTCCGAAACAAAAACTGATCATACATTGTAAGAAAGATACGTTAGAATTATATAACGCACTGTTGCTTGTCACCTGAAATTTTTTTATAAAATCGTTAGGTAAGCATCTGAAGCATGCTAGCTTTCAACTGAATAATTTGTAGCTTTTCAGTGAAATTATGTTAGATATAGCAACAACTACTGCAAAGGTAGGCATATTGCTTGATATTATAGACTTCATAAGATCGCTTCCCATAAGAAGCAACACATTCCAGCATGGCAGAGTACAAGAAGATAAGAATTTAATTAAAATTCAGGTGGACCACTGCAGGCTGCAATCACTAGTTTTTTGGAATCTTGGAATCACATGTTTCAAGACAAAAGCAGAGGCATTACAAAATGTCTTTTTCTGCATTCAGTATACAATGTATTCTGAGATGGATGAAGAGATTAAGTTTACTTACTTGAAGATTTCTGTATGAGCAAATATTAGAGTGAAATGACTCTATTATTACAAAGCATAGTTCTCAGAGAAGAAAGCTACACTTTCTTCAGTATTACACTTCAGTCATTCACCACCTATTTTGAAAAAGCAGAACGTGAAATTGGAACTGCAAATGGTTAGAAAAGCTTACTGTAAGGTATGGTTCCTACCTGTTGCTCTTGTACCAAGCATTCGCCGATCATATATTCTTACTGAGCTATCAGAACAACCCACAGCAAGATAGTATGGGATCGGTGGACAGATAGCAACAGAAGTGGCAGCACGCCGACAGTTTATTAAAATATCCTGGAACAAACAAAAATACAGCATTCAAATAACAGCTCTGAACATTTGAAGTATAATTCTATTTTTTACTTCAGAACACAGGCCCATTAGTCAAGGAGGTTTTGAGAAAACTAAGTCTGGCCCTGTGAAAATAGATTGTAAATATGCCAAACAGAAAAGCCACTGCAGAAAAGGAAAACTATCAGAGAAAGAAATATAGGATGAGATCAACTAAAAAAGAAAACAAACAAACCAAAACAAACCACAGGAACAAACATTTAGTAATAGATAAGCATAACAACTACAGATTTATAAACTAGCTTGCACCTTGGGTTTTCCTATGGAGACATAGATAACTGTTGAGTCAGAAGAGTACCAAATACACAGGAACAATCTAAATTAATTTAAAGGATCAGAATAGATTTCATCTACAGGCAGATAATTGGATAGATGAAAAGAAAGAAAGAAACCCCTAGAACTGGTAAATATGCACAAAGCAGAATAAAATTAAATTGAGAGTAGTAATACACACTTTGGTGTCAGTTTTTCTCCAATTCAGTATTAAAAATGTTTCTGAAATTCAAACACAGTGGACACCACCAATACTTTACCTTCTAGGGAGTAATACCAGTGACTAATTTGATCTAGTATAATCCATTACCAAATCTTTTCTTACAGAGGGACAAAGGACGCTCAAGAACACAAGGCTGCAGATGATTTTCAAGCCTCATTTTTTGCCTCCAACTCTGCACTCTATAGTAACTAATGTAAACCAGACCAAGAGATTAAATTTCAACATAGAATCTTTTCTACCATATCTGAAGCCTCACACCAAAGTTCATAAACTAAAAAATGCCAAAGGAGATATTAAGATAAAATAAAATCAAAAAAAAAAAAAAAAAAAAAAAAAAGACTCCCCAAACTTTTTTTGTTTCTTGGGAAACATGTTGTCATCTCCACCAACGACCCTGAAATCTATTATTACTAAAAGCCTTACCAGAATTCATATCCTATGTTTGTATGGTGTACAGCTCTACATTTAGGTCATCTTTATTAAAAGATTTCACTCTTACATCTTTACAATCTTCCTTTGTGCAACTTGTTTTGATTCGAGTATCAAACCATCTTACAGTGCCATCTTCACCACAAGAGAGGAAAGTATAGGGATCATTTGGTACTGTCATAATCTGCTCAAAAAAAAAAGAAAAAAAAAAAAAAAAAAAAAGAGTAAAAACTTCCAAAAAAACCCTTAATTTGAAAAAAAGCATCTACATTGAGAGCAGCAGTAAAGACTGAAGCAATTATGACTCAAGTCAAACTTTCTATTGAAATAAAGAGGAAAACTGAAAAACTGCTGATGTTTCTTCATTTTCAAGAAAAGGTTTGAACTACTGAAGTTAAAACAAACTGTGGAATGTCACACAAGATTAAATATTTATAGGTCAAAGCTTACAGTTATTTATTATCTTTTAATAAGCAACATACATTTACTGCAGTCAGTTTTCAGATAAGTAATCAATTTGCTGCAATAATTCAACAGAAGCTCAGTTTATTCTCTATCACATAGTAGAAGACAGTAACAAACAAAACCCTCAGAAGTCTGAATGACATGAAAATACTAGATGGCTTTTATTCCCATCGGGCCATCATTCCTTTACACTCAAAGTAGTCCCCTGAAGCAACTATGCATTAAAGACTGTTACTAACCTACTCACTGCATTTTTTTTTTTTTACTTTTTAAGAGAGCACCGTATTGCACCATTTTCCTGACCTCAGCCCTACTCAAACTAGGGAAGACTCAGATGGAGTCTCACATGTATGGCTTCACTCAAGAAGGCCTCCTTAAGACAAAATAAAAAGGCAAGCAAACATAATGTTAAAGCTGAATTCCACAGGTCAATGAACACACATGAAACGTCATGTTTTTACATGCTATCCCTTAAATACAAACCAGAAACTGTTGTAGAAACTAGCAGTATTTTTCTCTTCCTGCCTACTACTACTATCAGTAACTTCATAGAAATGTATAAAGCTACAAAAATCAATAATAGTGTGATACACTAATTCAACACAGAGCAAATGAGTGATTCTTTAACACTTTTTATGTGATGATTTATTCTCCTCTCCCTCCCAAAACTCTTAATAAAAGTAACATATGGATATCTGTAAATCTCTCTACTTAAAGTGGGATTACAAAGGTAATCTCTGCAGGATTCAGCGTTTCTTCTTGTGATGCTCAGTACATTACTGAGACAATGTGTGCTGTGCCAAATCTTACTGCTGACAAAGAAATAGTTTAACAGCCAGAACAAAGCCAAGGTTTTAATAACAATGGAACAATAAACTTCTAAGCTATGACCATTATTCCTCAATATGTTAGCGTAACATATTGAAAAAAGTGTTTTTCACTACACATTCACTCAAATTAATTTTATTACTGTAGTTATAAAAGCCAGCAATTGTTCTTCAATCCACTAAATCCTTCCAGCATTTTTGCTGTATTTCGATGCAGAGCTTTCATTGAAAACAGTTACTTTGTTCCAAGAATGCTGCTGAACGTGGTATAACACAGCAAGCTCTTATTTCTAGTAGCTGTATTTTATTTTTGTTCACACTGATATTATTCCACAATATACATGTAATAGTGCAGTACATACTTCCACTTGCACATGCCAATTTTTATGCATGGTGTTTAAAAACATAGTAAGTACTTTATAAGCACTGAAATAGAGAAATTGACAAGTGCAGACTCCAATAATTAAGAGTCATTGTTACTATATTTAAGTTCAACACATACAAATTATATTCATAAAATCCTTTTTTACTAACTAAAAAATCATTTTCTGTTTAACTTTAAAAATATATAGCTATATGATCATGTTACTGTATTGAAAGTATGAAGGTAAGAGTTGTCCATAAAAGTACATTCTCTTTCTGAAATGCAATTAACATGAAGGGCAATAAAGAAAAGCATTTGGCTGAGTAAAAATAAAATTGTAATGGCCTTGCATAAACAACAAATTCTCCAGAAACATGGTTCAAGAACTTCTCTCTCCCTCTCTATTTATTCTATTCTCCCCCAGACTTAAAAACAACTGTCCAATTATCTCACAGTTCATAACAATCTACGCAAATTTCCACATTCCTCTGTTTCAATGGATGTTTTTGTATTGTCTTGAACTGCCATAAACTCCAAGTTTAAAGCGCAGTATAAATTCAAACCACATTCAAATTTAGAGTTAGTACCTCAGGGGCAGATGATGTTAGCTTTTGTTATTTAGAGAATCCAATGAGTCAAAGTTCTATATTTAATATGATGATGTGATTACATACAGCTGGGCAGTAACGTCACAATATTTTGAAATTATTTTCCCACTCCAGAAAACTCCCAGTGGCAAAGTTGCGTTATGTCAGAAGCTGAAGCTGTATCTCAGCCATTTGCTGAAAAAAACCCTGCTATTTACTCTATCATACTTTCATATGCCAAGGCTCAAAAAAAGGTCTGCTATGCCACACAATAATATATGCATTTAATGTTCAAATACCAGGTTTAAGACACGGTAACAGAATTCATAGTCTTTATAAAAGGTACCTCCCAAAACGTTTTATAAGCCTATCTTTTCGAAGACTTTTTGAAGAGAGCTCAAATTTAGATATGTTAAACCTCAGTGCAAAACAGGCTAAGAAAAATAACTTCAAAAAGAGACAGTTGTTAAAATAGTCAATGTCATATAGGGGTTTGGAGATTCCTTCCATTAACTGTGTTTAAAAACAGTATAAACAACCAAAATGGTATCACACTACTGTCATTCAAAACAGCAATAATGCCCTCTTGTTAACGTTATTTGCTGAATAAAAATCATCCCCAATACCATTATTTTGACTGTGCAACATAGCAGTCAAATGTCCATACTGTCTTCAACTAACGATTTTGAAGAAATTTACTATATTCCGTACAACTGGTTACTGTTCAGTTCACTCTATATGGACAACAATAAAACTTGCATCTTGATTTATTAGACTGTTGGGCTCTCCGTATTTCTTCTAAGATATTTTTCAAACTCCTACTGACTGTTTTGACAAGTTTAGTTTGTTGCACCTATCAAATTTGTATTTATCATCTGGTTTAGTAGCTTGCAATGTGCATACTGTCATTACTGATGACAACAACATCTTGCAAAGAGACAACCAGCATCTCATATTACAGGTTAGAAGTGTTATGTTCCAGCCTCCATTACTACTCCTGACCCACAAGCACAACCGGCAACGACTTTCATTGAATTTTCCCAGTTTGATCATTGGTTTGCAGCACCACCTGGTGTCAGTCACTTCGTGTAATCAACCAAACTGTTGGTCAACCCAAGCTCAGGCAGATTGAAACTTAAGACCGCCACAGTGACTCCTCATGATGACTTTTATGCTGCCACCAACTCTTTCATTTGTAGTACTCTGAGCAGCCTAGCCCATGACCCCAAACTTCACGCACCCAAACTCACTGCTCTAATGATACTTCTACCACTACCTTCACATCTCCTCAGCACAGTATCCATGACCATCCTCCTATTCTCAAGCTTAAACATGTTTTATGTAATACTCACAGCTAGCTACGCAGGAAACAGAAGTACCAGTGAGCCAGTAACTGGCTGCTCCTCAAGCCTGCAGCCTGCCAGCAAGGGGAGGCTCTTATTTCCCCAGGAAGCCACAATGCAACGACCTGAGAGACCCTCTCCTCAACGAGGAGATTTCAGCTTTAAGAAATAGCATCTCAGTCTCCAGACGTTCTTATGAAAAGGCAGGTTATCTGAGATACAGAGAACATCCAATCAACGTGCAGAATCCACAGACTAGCATACAGACTACTATATATAGTAAACTTGAGTGAGAACTGAGGCAGTTTAAGCTTCTGACTGGGGGCCGTAAGGGCTGATGCTATTCAAAGGAAACAGTAGTTTCTCAATTAAAACAAATCTCAAAAATAAAATCTCAAAAAAGATGCGAGCCTGGGATCCAGAATCACATTTTGCAAAACTGAAAATATAGTCTCGTATTAAACCCAGGCAAAACAAAACCAAAACCACAAATCCCGGAAACAGAGTGAATACCACAAGGTTGTTCACTCAACTGACCTACAAAGTTACCCCGCACACAGGAAGTGTTTTTGACAAAACCTTTAATGGAACATGTCTAATTACAACTGTAAGGATACTTCTACTACATGATCAAAAATTTATTCTGGCAGTACTTCAGCCATTTTCTTTTCTCACACAACCCTTTCACACCCCCCGATGTTTTTAACAGAGATTTTAAAATATTTTGTTCACTTAACATACAAAGAAAGATTTAAAAGCTTGCTGTGAAATCTGAGCTAAATCTTTAAAAAAGCAATGGATCTGGGATTTTTTCCCCTCTGTGTGTACTGTGGTAGTGTTAAAAAAACAAACAATCAAAAAACCTGGCACATTTATAACCTAAGAAGAAAATAGCAGTATTTTTTCTATTTTAAACACAGTAAGTTTTACAAGCTGCAGATTAAAATAAATAAATATATCAATAATTCTGATTATCTTCCTAACTTAAGTAACACTTTGCTTCTTCACTTGCCTATTTATATGAACAAAACTTCCACGGGAGGATTGAAAATACTGGCTCTAAATTTACACATAAAGAGTTAACTAGAATACAAAATAGAGAAATTACCTAGAAATGTAAATCCATTTTTCAGGTTAAGTTATTCACACATGCTGAAATAAGCATTTCTTAGAAGGATTTAAATTGTGAAAAAGGCATTAAACTGCTGAAAAGTTGGGAGAGGGGAGAATAAAAATAAAAATGCAAAACATAGCCACTGTCCCCACCCCCCAACCTACTTCAGAAAGAAATTCACAGCACAATTTAAATCAGTTTTGCTCTGCAGAGGATTCTTTCAGTGAAGGTGTATTCAGCTACTATATTTGCAAAGAAAGTGGTCTTAATGACACTACCTTTTGGAAAGTCCTCCATTTAATTCAGACAACATATTTCTCTTTTAAAGCCTACTCTAAGAAAAAAAAAACAAACTAAAAAAAGCTAGAGGAAAGGTTCTTTAATTCTCACTGAAATAAAGCTTTCAGCAGTCTGGTTAAAATCTTGGGCAACAATACAAGAAAATATGTATTCTACTCATATACTTTTGTGAGGTACCTCATAGGTAGTTCCATAGTGACATGTATACTGGCATTGTCTGTTGGTCTCCGCATCTTGTTCAACGTTAGTGTAAAAAATGACTCCATCTCCGGAACAAGATACAATCTGTTTGTCATTGGTGCACGGTAAGAATTTTGCACTAAAAATATTGGCCCTGTGTCCTGAGCGAATGGTTGTTAAAACCTAAGGAAGAAAGAAAAAGGAAGGCTGTATCAGATGAACATTTTCAAAGCAAATAAAGAACGGGAAAACAACACAGTCTCTGGCACTATAAAACATCAGTTATGTACAGGCTGCCAGTAACCTACATTTTAATAGAACAGAACAGAGAAGCTGTCTTTACACCAAATTTCTTCTAAGAACAAAATGGTTCCACAATAGACATTAACTTATGCACTTGCATGAAGTATTCTGCGAAATGAAAGGCTGAAATGCAACTGCCACCTTTTGTTTTTAAAATGCTAGTTACATATCACATCAGGTTTCTCAAAGTAAAACATTAGTCCAGGGTGATAGTGCAGCCAGCCAGCATGTCAGTGAGGAGAGATTTGGAAGACCTGGAATATCGTGGGTCAAGAAGAATAAGGCGTTATAACCCAAACCAACTTTATAGACTTTAAAAATTGATGCTACTCTTCAAATAAACTCACTTTAAAAGAGAGAACTGAAGTTTATGAGAAAGAATGTTTTGAAACCAGTCAAAAATAAATAAATGTTTAAGAACATGATTACAGGGCAATAAACTAAGACTTGACTTAATCTCAATGAATGTCATTCATCTACAGTACAGCAGAGAAGCATATAATTTACTTCACCATCACAGTTGGTTTTAAAACACTTTGTGATGATTCTTTATATTTCCTAACATACTTATTAGTCTATCAAAACTGAAAAAACCCTCCATATGCTTTCCTGTGCACTAGTGAACATTCTATTCTTACCTTATTTCTCCCAATTAAACCAAACTGCATTTTCACCACTAATAGGAAAAAGATACTTACCAAGTTGTTTACAGTATGAAAATTACTTCCAAATTTCCACTCAATTAACTAATCAAAGAAAACATTATGCAAATGAAGTTGCTTTGTCAGTGATAGCTCATGTCTCATATTTCACAAGTACTCTTTCACACCTTTTAAACAATTCACACAAAAAAAGATTAGCAGTGTATCTGCATATTCTGAAAGATACACAAGGCTTAGTATTTTTAAAAAATTATCAAAATGGGGAGATATAATCCATTCATTTTGTTTCATTAAATCTTCCTCTTCATTTAGATTTGTTCAGATCTCTGCATTTTACTGAAAACGTTAAAACCCAGACATTCAAAAGAAATGAGAAACTCTGTATCAAAGGAGCAACTCAGAACAAGAAGTCCATAAGGTACCCTAGTTCAGATGACAGTTAAAGATGTCATCTCTCAATCCCACCTCTGATTTTACGTTATTGCTACTGTGAAAGGAATATTTTTGTCCTGCCAAGAAATCCTTTTTGATTTCCTTAATAAAAAAACCAACAAAATCAACAACAACAACAACAAAAAAACACCCCAAAAAACCCAACAAAACCCACCACAACATAACAACCAACTAGGGACTTCTCTACCACCTTAGCTTCCCCTTGCCAGTTGTCCACCACTTCCTCCCTATTACGGAATACAAGCAGGCAGACGACGTCTCTTTGCTCTGCTGTCACGGTCCTTCTCTCACCAAATTACACATGCTTCTTACTTTTCCCCCTTTTTCTCACAAAACCCAACCTAATGCCCTTGCTTTTCATGCAGTCAATAGCTAACTTATTCTAATCTTCTGCTTCAGTTTTCCCCATCTGCAGATCTCACTTTAGACGTGGAGATCTACATTTGATGACTGTCCTCAAACTTGGAAAAACTCAGATTTTTCTTTCCCTCCCTTCTTCTCTCCTCCACTGTAAAGTGAAACAGCATTCAGAAATATATACAGCTACACATTTTCAGTAAAGAAAAGAGTTTTCTCACAGGCAGACCTAACCTCGTCTTGTCTGCCCCTCAATTTTCTGTCTACGTTGCACAGTATTGCAATAAAAAGTATTAAAGTACTACAGCATTTATTACATGCAGATTTTCCATGCCCTTCTTGACTTGCACTGTACATCCTTTTCTACTCTGGTTATTCTACTGCCTTACAGAGAGGAGAAAGAGGCATAAGAAGTTGCTGGTGCCTAGGCAGCAAAAAAGATGAGAAAATGTAACACACACAACCAACCCCCAAAAGCCTATCGTTAGCTACACAGAGTAAAACAATACCACCACCTTACTCCATTGGAGCATTTTACTACCAACATGTAACAGGCTACATATACTTAATCACTGAGGAAAAGAGGGAGGGGGGAACAAAGAATTTCAGATGTTCTTCAAAGTACTTGACGAGCTGTAGTAATTCAGACGTCCTCATAACTTTTGCAATTGCTTAAGTAATACGTTACACAGAAAATCAACTGAAGAGGCAACAAATTCAAGAATTCAAATTGCATCTCTTAAAAGCGCAGATTAAATCTTTGGGACGGGATTACTAATTCATGTAGCGATCCCAGAAGCTTGCATACAAGATCCATCCCTAACAATAAGTACTTTCCTCCAAGAAAGTAGAATTTCTGGCAGCTAGTCTGTTGTCTTCTTTAAACCTGAAACGTTTAAATTCCGTATCCAAATGGAAACTCCTTACAATAAAAAGTCACCACTTTTTTAAAGTGGTTTTATTTCCACTCTGGCTTACTTTTTGAAAAGAAGCCTGTTGAAACAAATGCAAGTCAAATATCAGTGGGTTACTAAGCTTTTCAGTATGTAGTTAATTTAGGGTTCCCATTCAAGATATTCAGCACAGAATCATTTACAATCCAGCCCTTTCAATAGTACTTCCTTTGAAGAGGTCAAAATCCCCTTTAGAAGTAAAGGAAAGCAAACTTAATGGAACCCCATCGTAAAGTGAAAAGTAGCAATCCTGATTCTAGAAAAGCTGTAAACCTTCAGCCCCACTAAGCACCCTCCAAAGCCTCCCCAGCACTTTCTCATGTGAGCTGAACCGTTTTCTCTCCCAGAAGGCAAACCAGGCTAAAGAGTCAAAAATCCTGAATGTTAACTACTTATAAGAATCCTGTCTTCACACTGGTACTAGCTGAGAGAAATCTCAGGCTCCATTTAAAGGCTTTGAAAACTGAGTGCTTAGCCTGAGGTAAATACATGAATTCCCATCTTTTTGTACCATACATGTAGCGGGTAGAGCTTTAGCTCCATCCAAACTCTCCCCGCTCCCCGCCCCCAGTAATGTGGGGAAACAAATAAAATGAGGAAGAAAAGATCCACAAGAAGAATTATTCTCAGCCATCCCAAAGTATAATAAAGTGCTCATCCTTTTGATTTAGACTTGCAATTACTATTAGAAATCACAGTAACACATTTCTCCTGAGATGCACAAACACTATAAACATATAACCTATTCAAACTTGAGAAACATATTTAGAAAAATTTCTTCTTCTGCGACACATTACATAGTAACAATTAACATTTGCATCTGGCCATACATACCACAAACTGGAGTGACTTACATAAAACTCATGTAAATAAGAGTTAAACAAGATTAAATGCTTCCTTATTCAATTAGATATTTTACTAACACAGAAGATTATATTGATGGCTATTTTTGCTACTCTAGCTAGCTCATAACAGAAAATATAGTGATAAGGACATCTGCCAAGATGACAGAATTACAGTAGAGTTCTGGTACCAATACCAATTTGCTCCCTTTTTCTGTATTGATTCTGTTACTCAAGCCGGAGAAAATAAGCTCACACAATTGTAACAGTCATTAAAAATCGCATCTTTAGTACATTTCAGGAAAAACACTGACTATTAAGTCTTCTTGCTAGTACCTGCTGGTTTATAATTGCATTTGCATATATTGGGGGAGGGAATCTATCTGCTCTGCTGTTATGTAAAAAAAATAACTCAGCTGACTGTTAAAAATAAGAAAACAAAACATCCCCTGTATTTCTCATTGGCTTCAGTGCAGCAGTAATACACAACGGGGAAAAACCCAAAATCATCCCATGAAAGCAT